TCTCACTTTTTAAGACATTATCAATTTTCTGACTATTAAGAAAGTGTTGAAATCCTTCTCTTTTACACAAAAGACCGTCCGCGTTCCAAAATAACATGCGAGCATATTTAGCTGACATTGAGAGGTTATCATAAAGACTTTAGAAGAAGATCATATAACATTCTTGCCATTGCTAAAATGGTCGTTCTTATATTATTTAAATGATGTTCATAGTCCTTTGACTTTGGCTTCATGTTAACGGCAACTGCGTAGCTCTTCTTGTGGACTACTGAATATTTTCTGAGAAAAAAGTTCTTTATTTTGAAAATTCTTGGAAGATGTGCAATTAATTGTCTGGGAGTATGGCTCTATTGTGATTTGTTGAGGTGCGCATTTGAGAATTTCTTGGGTGATAAGGGCAACCTCGACAGTTAATGATGTGCTTGCCTTGACAATTAGCGCTATGCGGAGGGACATCAGGCATCTTTGTGCAGCTACCATTTTCCTGGTTGCTTCCACATTTAATATACTTAAAGGCAGAGGTACAGAAGGTATAATTATGGCCAAAAAGTTGACAGCGGTGGCACCGGCCAACTACGTTTGAATTCTTGAGTCCTTCAAACGTAATTTAATAACGAACTGATGTTATTTTATATACCGAGCCTTCAGATTTTGGCGAGTGTACGAGTACTAAAATAAGAACCTTTCGTTCTTTCCAATAACTATCATACGAACAACCTTTAACGGATGAAAATCTTGACTGCGTAAATCTTCCTCAACTGCGCTACTGTTAAGTTCCGGAAAAATTACTTTTAGTACCACTTTCTAAAGCTTATCCCCAGGAAACCGATAAGCTGTAAAACTCGTAATTACTTTCTAATAATAATTTTCTGGTTCAGTTGAAAATTATTAGAGGAAGACAGCAATAAGGATATTTTTAGAAGAAAATTGGTCACGTTTCTTATACGTAATAGGGAACTACACCTGGCCAACGTTGTTTCTCACGAATATTTTAAGGTGAAACATTTTCTTTGTCTACCGGAAAGTTTTTCGCAGTTGATATGTTGAGTTTTCTGTTCTGTGGGGAGTTGTCGATTGGAAAACTGAGTGATTGAGTTTTGAGTAGTTAAATCACTCAGTAAAGACGGTAATCCGTTTATATCAGTGCTTTGGCCTTGTAAGATAGACCAGAAAATGAATCTGAGCAGGCATTGAGTAAAGGAGCAGGTTTGCAAGAGATTGAAATAGCAATTAGCTTGTTTTTGCTAATAGCTGTAAAGGGAACAGATTCTAGCTCGTTAATTCTCTTTTGCGCTATTTTTAGTTCTTTTTATAGCTTTTCATTTATGGCTAGTATCTCAGTGATGTGAACTGCGGGATCTTTACCAGAAGAAACAAGAGACATGTTAAGCAATATATATAAGTAAATAAAGTGATATAGTAAAAAATAAAAATTAATATATAAAAGTTAATTGAGTAAGACAGATATATATAAAGAGTATTGGTTTAGACTTAGTTTATATATTAAAATAGAGTAGTGATTAAAGTTTTCGTTGTAGTAATAAAACATATAAATAAGTAAGTTATTAATAGCAAATCCGTAGTAAAAAGTAGAGGTGCACAGGTCACATCCAAAATCGGCAAGGGGGCTGGGCAAGAAAAACTTTTCTATAAAGAATCCTGAGAACCTTTTAGCTTTATTAAAAGATATCAAACTAGAAAGTAAAGACATTATAGAACCGCTTTATACAAGTATTCCAATAGAAAATTGATGGATTTCTGTAGCATTCTTTCTAAAAGGATCTCCAGGCCAAAAATTTTTTGTACATACTATGAACGATCCATCTTTTATTACATAATAATGTCTTTAATGTTATGTTATACCAAGGACTAAACGGGGAATCCTATGGGTAATTCCGCTGCCTCCAACCTTGGTTACTTCATATTCAGTGTATTATGAAGCTTTAAAGTTTCATAAATTCTCTCCTTATATAAAGTTATATGAAAGAAATATGGATGATATATTGCTCATATGGGTAAAAAAAAAGTTCAACTTTCAGACTTTATCAGCCATATTCCAGATCGTACTAAGCTAAGCTGGCCTTTAGAGATAAACCAGAACAATTCCATTTTCTTTCTAAATTCATATATTTGGAAAGATAATAATAGAATTATTCATACAACTAATGAATTGGAACTCAATTTATATCTTTATTAGCACTCAACTTTTGTCCCACACCCCCTTTCTAACCATAAAAGATTACGAAGAAACTTTTGACAAACATGATGAGAGGAATCAGCTTAGCATCCACTTTGATGATTTCTCTAATAATTTTGTCAAAAGCAATGTCTGTGAGTCCAACAAATCTTTCATACAGGACACTGTCCCGGGAGAGGTTATGGATACTTTCAGATGTCTAAAAGTTAATTTTTTAGACCACATTCGAAAGTTTTACAAGAATAGAAAAACTATTCAAGTGGAATTTAGAATCTACTCAAACAATTTTCTTAAAGGAATTTAAGAATAACAAATATATGAAAGTGATCAATACTGATAAAAACCAAGGCCCTGCATTAATGACCACAATACAGTATGTAAAATGGTGTAGCGACCATTTACAAGTAAAAATTCTTATTTCGAAATTCAGAAGCGCAATAAAGAGGAGATATTGACAACGCGTCGAGATAAGATTCTTGGTTTTTATCAGCAGGTAAAAAGAACGTTGGATAAAAATAATGACTTTATGAAACTGACCAGAACCATTTTACATCATCTGGAGAAGACTAAACTTTATTATTTTTACGGGTTAGCCAAGGTACACAAAAAGATTTTCCTAGATGTGCACCAGACATTAGACCATTAGTTGCGTGTGTTAATACACTTATTCCTGGTCTGTCGAAATGGTTCCACCATCCCTTCTTATATCAGGAATTCCGATGATATCCTGACTGCTATTCAGGGTACCATTTTGTCGTCTCATCATGAAGTATTGTCTCTAGATATTTCAGCCTTATATACTTCCATTCTCCCATGAAAGCATATAAAGAGATTAAAAAATATATTCTAGAGCATTTTGTACCAATTCATGGTGGTTTGTTAGTAGAAGCTCTTCGTTTAATTCTGAGTACTGGTTATTTTGAATTCTATGATAAGCTCTACATTCAAACGAACGGCATTCCTAGAGGGGATCCAGCAGTCCCCAGTATAGCAACCCTTTATGTTGCTTACTATGAATCTACCAAATTATACCCTCTTTTAAAATCCAATCCCATCTTATATAAAAGATACTTGGATGATGCATTGGTGACTTTAAAAGATAATGGGAGATTCTTAGAGAAAAAATTCTGGCCATCCTTAACAGTCTTTCTGGTCTAAAATGAACCAAAGAATCTATGAAGGATGGTAAATTACAATTCCTCGATAACTGTATTCATACAGATGGTAAGATGGTATGGACAATATCGGCGGAAAAGGATACAAATTTATTTTTATATCCTACCCCTCATTCGGCACATCCGCCAGGAGTTGTAAAAGGTATGGTGAGAAGCTTAATTTCTAACTATTACCGACAAAATTCTTTTCGCGAGGATTTTTGTATCATGTTGTAACAAACTTTTTGCAAGGTTAATGGAGAGGGGACATTCCAAAAAAAGATTATATGTAATATTTAGATACGCTTTCTCAATGTTATCTATAAAGGAGAACAACGATAACAACCATATACCTTTACGAAACGTTCTTTTTTCATATCCGATATGACCTGAACGGACCGAGGCGAAGTTGAATTAGAAATGCGCTCGCTACGAATGTCATATCAGCTATGACAAATAATTGCCCTATAACGATTGGATATTCCAGACCTCGGAATATCAATGAATTATTGGGTTCGAATCGTTTCGTAAACTCGGAAAGTGGAGCATTATAAATTAGAAAAGGAGGATAGCTAGCTAGCACTGATTCTTTTTTATAATATTCCTAAACCTTAAATTAAAGTCACATGATTTTTTATATGAAATGTTCCCGAACATTTCTAATTATTCAAGAAACCACTTTCCGAGTATAAACCCGAAAAGGTATAAAAGAGACTGAAAAGACCTCTTCTAGAACTTTTCGCTTTTTCGCTTATCAAGTGCCCTCAAATTCCACTGAAGAAGCCCAGGCAGCAGAAAGGATCCTGATTCAAGATACTTTTTTGAACAATCAGTCAAGCTTGATTCAAGGATACCTCTGGAGATTTTAGCGAAAAAACTTTTATTAATAAAACTATTCTATACCGCATACGAAAGTTTGTTGATAAAAGAATAGTTTGAGTATCTTCAAGAAGCTTTAGGATAATTTTTGTTTGCAAAGATTATCACTATTTCTAACCCTAACCTAACCCAGAATCTAAATTAATTACTGTTAAACTTTATTGTTCTGTTACAGAAGGTGACAGTACCATTTTTTACAAATTATTTACTTGGTAAATTTAAATTTTATAAAGTTCAGGCGATGTAGAAGACATAATAAAATTTCATGATTAAGCGTAAAAAAAAGTTAAGGAAAACATCTTAGCTGGTATAAAAAAACTGATTACTGTATTTGCTTTGCAGTTTAACTAGATACATATAAATTAACATATATTAGTCTCCTGCATTATAGCTTATCCTTTCAACTTTTACTAATAAAAACACAACTACGGCGTTATCCGATAGGTATACAAGCAATTTAACGTATTAACGAGACAAAACCACGTGCTTAAAAAGTGGACAGAAGTTACCCTCACAGAATTATATTTTGATTGTATCAATATTGTTGACAGAGAAGCCTCCTTTTCCTCTTCTTAAATTTATAGTTCAAAAGCTTCTAACGTCTTTTTTTTAATAGCTCCCACCCCTTAATTTAAAAAACTTATGAAATATAAGTTAAATACATATATATATACACTCGGACCGCGAACACTACATTAAACTCCAAGCGCTCACCCTCAAATGCGCTTGATGAAGTTTATAATAGAAAAAACCAAGCCAGCTTTAGAAGATTCAGGCATTATTTTTAACTTTAAAGCTTTATTTTTTCCTCATTCTTCTCTTTAACCATCTTAATAAACTCTTAAAAAAATTACGTACTACATAAGAAACTGTGTCCCTTTTAAGTTCTTGTTTAATGAACTCACGAAAAGGGCCGTCTATTAATGTGATATTTACTAATTTGATATTGGTGTCCAGTCGCATCTTAAATACTCTAAAATACTCCCTCGCTACATCGAGGTCCACTCCATCTTTGAGTTTCTCTTTAAAATTCCTAGTAGCATAATTATTATATTAAAACTATTATTTTTCTGCAGTCTTAAATTTTGCACTATCAGAGACAACTGACTACATTTGTTATTTTTGAAAACTTTACAATTTATTAATTTTGTGCTTAATCTAAGTTTAAACTATATTTAATACCTCACTATGCTATAAGGTAGATAACTAATTTATATATGCACTTACAATTAATCATTAGTAATTACAATTAGGCAGTCAAAACATTTATAACTGACATATTTACTTTTCTTTTCAAGATTACTAATAATAGTAACGCTTGCAAAACAATTTTACAAAGGAATCAACGGTTGTGTCAAAACCGCATGAAGTTTCTCAACCATCAATAAAAATTAAAAAGTTTGCACGCACGTGTTACGTCTTCTAGCATCGCCAATGTCCAATAACGAATGTCCATAAAAGTATTGTAGGGCCTGCATGAATGTATCGCCGACATGAGATGTGGTGGGGTGCAGCGGCCCCGGAGGCTCCTTTAAAATAAAATTTTTTCTAAGCTTTTCTGCCTAATTTTTTATTAATTATTATAAACATCATCTAAGGTAAGTATGAATATCTAACATCCTTTCCGGCTAACAATATGTCCTGGAGAAAGTATTGCTTGGTTAATATGAAGCTGTGCATCTCCCTGTAAAGATACGCGCTCTCCAAAAAAAAAAAACTATCGGCCTTATTTGTTTCATTATATATATACGTGAGGAGGCGGGCCCTAAGTTTTCTGTGTAAACGATAGTGCCAGAAAAGGTCGTCATTGCTACGAAACCTATGGTAAACCCATTAAGTAAAAAGGGTATTTTCCTGTAGCTTTTTAGACGTTAAAAGTAGGGAGTCCACCTTCTTCGGAGCATCGTCGGCGACTCCCTGTCAAACACCCAAAAAATCCCCATTTGCAGGCAACTCACACAAAACCAAAAGAGCGACCAAAAAGAGAGAACTCAGGCTGCCGACCACAAAACTTATATATTTCTTTTTTCTTATCAGTGGGATGAACTATTTTTTCTCCGTAATTACCAGTAGACACGCACCTATTAAACAACAGCTTTATATACCAACAAATTAAAATTTCATATAGAGCTTTTATGCAAACAACCTTAAATTAGGGCATAACTAGGCCTGAAAGCGTCTTTACAATATCTTTAAACAATTAGGAAAAGATTGGAAACCACAAGATAACCACTTGTAAGTTAGGCATTAAATATCTTTTTAAATAGATACACTTTAGCATAATTTAGAACCAACCAAAAAATGATCAGAAAGACTGCTTTTCTTTTTTAAGATCTGTAAAGTTTTGTACTAAGTTAAAATTATAAAAAAGGTTGCAAATTAATATTAAATAATTTTTAGGTTATAAACCTCATACAATTTAGAACAACCTTTTCTCACTACTTCAGTTTTTGCAAAATACATCTTACCTATTGCACACAAAAATAAAATAAGAAAACAGAAGTTATTATTTAGGAGAGCAGGTTAAAAGAAAGTTAGTTGGTTAAAAAAACAGTTCCCAATGCCAAAAAGCTTTCATGGCTTCGCAGTTTTGCGTAAATTAAGGGTGTAAAAAGCATACCTCACTAATTAACCAGAGGTTGTAAGCTTAAAATAAGGTTTTGCAAATTTAGTTACATTAATAAAAGCAAGCATTTACTTCATGATCATTAATGCGGTATACATTGAGGCAACATACTTTAGCCATTATCAAAGAATAGAAGTCAGGTATTGCCTTACCTATGTGCTTTCCAATCTCGGGAGTGCGTTAAAATGACCGAGTATTACAGCAACAATATTTTCATGGTATTAATTTTTTAAACAGAAAAGATGCGACAGTTCATAAAATAAAAAGTAAGGGGAAGGGGGGCCAGTTAGGAAGTTAAAAACCATATCCCACTTTAGTTTTCCCTAGTAACCTAATTTTATATCTTATAAAACAAACCAACTAAACGAAGCAATCTTACAGTTTAGATATTGTCATTGAAAAGTTGTCATAACTTAAATTACTCCAGCGCAAGTGCTGTAGCAAGAATTAAGGTAGGCTTTTTTTACTTACTATATAAGTTTACACAAGAAAGGTTTACAGCTCAGTTATGCCCCCTGCCATTATTACAATGAAACTAAAGTGAACATTGAAGGTAGTATTTCATTTATAGTGATAATATTCTTATAAAATTTTTTAAAGAAAAAGAAGGCCCGAATAAGAAACCCTATGTTGACGGAGAAGAACTAGGATAGGTTTACAAGAATATATTGTATAGATTTTTTGTACGTTTTTATTAGTAGCTTAATAACCTATTGATAGAACTAAGTGCTCTGCCTTCTTCTTTTAATAACGTAGTCGACACTGCAGTTAAGAATGTGTAGTAACAGATCTTCGCGGTGACTTCGTCCACAGTATGGCCCTGGGCGGAGTATGGGATGACTAACGTGTGCAACAATATCACTGTCCCACTGGTTTTGTTTTTTTTTGGCCACGGTCCAACCCTTATTTTTAAGTTATTAGCAGCAGCTCAAGTAGTAGCGATAGTGATTACTTCGGGCGAATCTCTTTTGTATTTTTTGTTTTAAAGTAATCATTTATTCTGGCAAAATGATTGTCTTTTATAAGAATCATTTTGTGCATATAACAATAAACTTTTTAACAGTTAACAACGAAAATTGTTTCTTGGCCAAAAAACTTCTAGTTAAAGCAAAATGTATGGAGATCTCAGTTAACGGTAAAGGTTTTTTTTATTATGTTATAACAAAATAACCTTTGCAATTAATAAGAATAATTTAATCATATATAATTTATAACTACTTTACTTTGAGTTTATTTCCAAGTCTCAGTTTTGTGTTTAAATTAAACATATGATCTCTGATATCTTATATATTCAGGACTTATTTTTTTAGTTGAGTAAAGGGCTACAAATAAAAAGTTCCGAAAAAAATGAATAATTAATAAAAATTAATAAAAATTAACTCGTCCGCCAGGCTTTATAAACTCACAAATTAGCTTATTTGCGGCCACAATCATACCACATCATATGAAACCGTTCATGAAGCTCATGAAAAACTTTAACTAAAGTTAAAAAATGTTTCAAGAAAACTACACTATAAAGTATCACGTATTATAATAAAAGCAAGGGAAATGCTAAAAAAACACTGGTAAAAATATTAACTGAGCTTAACAAAACTATGTACACACTAAAAAATGCTCCTTTCTTGGCGCTTATTTTGCTGTTTTTTAACGCTTAGTTTTGATAAACGTTAGGAAAAAGAAAAAGTACGACTTTTTAGTTATTATGTCTTTTCCAACCATTCACCCTGGCAATCATCACCGAGGTGCGGACACTTGACTTAGTTGCTTTATATTCTTTATTTTTATCGCATGCCTCCACTATGAAACGATAGTTCACTTGTTAAAACTGAATAAATTTAACATAAAATGAATAAACTCAAAGATAAAACAGTTTTAACAGAGGAAGGTTAGTAAACCTACTATTAATTTACTATAGAACCTATCTTTGGCACTAACAAAATCAGTATTACAAATATAATTGCCTGTAACTACAAAGAAGACCATAATTGAGTCGGTTCTATTAATTTTCATTTTTATTTTAAAATAAATCCTTTTATAACATCAATGACTTGTAATTATTAAATTGAAGTAGTGATTTCTGGGGTGAGTCAATCCACAATTGGTTTTTAGAACTTTTAACTTATTACAGACCGACTCCTCTTATTTAATGAACCTTTTTCATACCTAATAAAAAGTTCTTACATATGTTATGTGCTAAAAGGAATTAATGTCAACTGAAAGTATTATATTTGACGTGGACGCAAGTGAAGTTTTACCTGCTAGAGGTCTTTGGGTGGGCTCAGCGAGGTGTTTTTCACGCGCTGAATAGCTAATTTTTAATATTTACAAAGGCCATATGTGTACAAACAGAGACTGTGACACTTTAAATATAATAACAACTTTTAATTTATTACTTCAATTTACATGAGTAGTGCTTCCTCAAATATAAAATGGTTAAAAAAGAAAGGAATCACTCACATTCTCGTCACAGGAGCGATGCTCCCTTGCAACTTTCCTGAGGTAAATCTTATAGCGCAGTTTTTAAAAATTTACTGATCGCGATTAGGACTTTAGATATAAAGTTATATTCTGCCTCGACACTCCCGTTCAAAATCTTCTAGTCAAATTCGAGGATGCCCACGCCTTTATAGATGAGGGCCGGGCTTCTGGTTTTTTTTGTATTTACCGAACCCTAAAAATAACCAACTTTTCCTTCTAAACTTAAAGGAGGTGTTTTAGTTCACTGCAGGTATGGCAGGTCGAGAAGCGTCTCCTTTGTAATTTCCTACTTAATGAGAATCTTCAAGGTGCTAAAAATACATAAGTTCGGATGGCACTTGCCTATTTACTTTTACAGCACTATTCATAGATGCCATTCAACGAAGCCTTTAATACTGTCGCAAAGGCTAGGTAGCTCCCACGTTTACATAGTTGATACCTTTTTACAATATATTGACCATCCTTAGGCCCGACATCTCCCCTAATTACGGGTTTGAGGAACAGTTACGTCTTTACGAAACCATGAAATGCAGGATTGACGAGACTCATCCAAGCTATATGCTTGTTATGAAAAACACTATGCCTTGAACGAAACAACAATGTAGCAAACAAATATAAAATATGGAAGGCTGGAGCCTCCCATTTTAGTTTAAGAAAAAGTTAAGTTATAGAAAGCCTGCATTTAACTGGCAATTATTTTTAGTTAGTTGCTTTTAGAAAATTATATGGTTGGGGTTGTTTTAGAATTACTGTATAAACTTATTTCCGGTTAAAGAGAAGAACCTATTTAGCAGAAATTCTTATTGCAAAGTAAACTGTCTTTTCTGTCAGGTCTATGTTTATTCGATAGACTGTCTAGAGCTTAAAAGTGAGCAAAAAAGGCAAGTTTATTTATAATAAACGAGTGGTCGTGCATATTTTTGTCTGTGCGCTTGCTGAATTTTCTTATCACACTCCTGAGTATGAAGCTGAATTTAATAAGTTTAAAATAAAAAATATTAAGTGTTCAAATTCTTTCTGACGATAGGCTAAAACTATTAATATTCAATCTTGAAAAACTTTAAAAAGATTTAACGTTATTTACATTGATAAAATTCAACTAATTACTAGATAATTAGGAAATTGCTGAACGGCCCATGTTGCTCAACATTAAATGAAAACAAAATATATTAACAACATAGGACTCTTGACAATAAAATTTTTCCTATATAAAACGGTAAAATTTTTAAAAGGAAATAACCTAATGGCAGAAAAAGTAATATTAAAGGAAAAACTCGTAAGTTTAAACATGGGAATACCAGCTACAAGAAGGGCTTAGTGAACGAATTTACTATGTCGCTCCAAGGCAGAGCTAATAACTTATTAATTCTTTAACATAACACAGACTTTTTTTTATAAGTTTTTTTAGATCAATTTGCTAAGAAACCAAAAGAAAAATTTTTAATTGAATCTCTAGCTTACTGCATCCTTTAGGGGGCGCCCCTTGATTTTTTTATTTTCTTTATAGCACTGGTTTGCTACTGGTGTGATTTATTGTCATTTGCTTTGTAATATCTACTCCCCCTCTACTAAGAGTGCGGCCACAACTGCCCTAACGAGGTCATTGCGCCATCAGCGGAACGAATTCGCTTTATCATTACAGCTAAATAGTATACATTAACAAAGACGTAATAGCAAAGTAATTACAATATTACATGTAATAAAATAGTTACCGTTATATTAAAAAATATTTTTTATTTTTATTTATTTTTTACTGACTTACTACAGCCTATTTGCATAGCAAATCTTTACTGCTTAATGCTTATTCCCCTCTTAAACCATAAGAGAGTTAAAGAAGGATCCAGTCCCCTTGGAAGAGTCTTCATCAATATTTGTGTGCCGTCCAAGGGCTGTTATAAGAAGAAAGAAGTACACAGCAACAACCTAACAAAAAAAAACCGAATTTTATTATTAAGAATAAATTAGAACAAATTAGTAAATTAAATTATTAAATAATAATATTATTAAACCAATATAAGTGATAATATATAAAATATACTATAATGCGCAGTTTTTCCTTATATGCATAATTGAATTATAATAATACTTAAGTTCGATTAAGCATATTAAAATAATAGTTTATATGTATTTTGTGACTTTTATAAATGGATTTTTTATCATTAAATAACGATAATAATAATAAAGTGTAAAATTAATTATAATTTAAATGGGTAATCGAAAATAATTAGGATGGTAAATCGAGGCTCAAAGGACCGATGTTTAGGTCCTTCCTTCATACCTGTTACTCTAATCTGGGTTATAATTAACAGCAAAGGCTAATAAACTATTGGTATGTTCACTGTATTCTTTGTAACATTTAGTTGCAATTTGTAAAAACAAAGTCTTGTTTGTTGACATTGGGCAGCCACGATATTACTCATTACGTATGAACCATGGAGCATCTGTGATTTATTCTGAGGAGTTTGTTTTAAAAGATCTGCGGCTTATTTATATGACGCTCAGAGTAGACTAAAAAACGGAAGTATACACCATAAATTAGCGAATAATGAATTTATAAAAAAAGCAGCTTGTTTTTAAGGGGGAGATTGCGGCGCCTCCATATTGAGGGATATAGGATATTCTTGGCAGCGTTCATTTTCCTTAGGACATACTCAACGTGAACGTTCCAAGTTAATTTATGATGTATAATAATTCCTAAGTACTTAACCATGAGCTCCACGGAATAGCAGTCTTTAAACATAGGTAGAGTTTGGCGTTTTCGAATATTAACTCTACTTCTTGAAATTATCATTGCTGCACTCTAAGAAGCATTGATCGTTATCTTTCAATTAGTAAACCAGGTTTCTAGAGAATACAAATAAAGTTGTGTGTATAACAGCCAGTACTGTCGATTTAGAGCCGCAGAATATAGCTGTGTCGTCAGCATATTAGGTTAGCGATAAGGTAGTTTTGATCTGCTATATATATCGCGAATAAAGGCGGCGATAAAAGTGAGCTTTGGGGGACTCCAACGTTTAAATCCACCACGGTCTGTGAATTTACTATGTAATAAATTTTTGTCATCTGGATTATAGACCTAGGTAAGTTAATTTTGGCCATCTTATAGAGAAGTCTTCTGTGCCAAACTTTATCGAAGGCTTTCTCAACTTCTAAAAATCTACTATTGCGGTTTATTTCCGCTCGTTAAAGGCTTTAGTAATACATTCTGAAAGTCTTAGAATCTGTTGAGATGTGGAGTGTTTTTCACGGAAACTAGATTGACACTTTCGAATAATGTGCTTTGCTTTCACAAAGTTTATTAACCTTGGGAGTATCCCAGTCTCCGCTTCTTTGTCAATGCAGGATAGTAAGCCTATAGGCCGATAGCCTGTAATAAAGTTTTTTGGTTTTTTTTAATTTGAAAATAAAACAACTTCTGCTAACTTCCAACGATTTGGAAAGTAAGATGTAGTTAATATCGAATTAAAAAGCTCGTTTACATAGGCAATAGCCTTATTAATAAAATGTTTGAGCATTAGGTTCAACACACCGTCTGGTCCCACAGCCTTTTTGGTCTTTAACGAACTGATTATATTATTAATTTCTTCGCGACTAGTCAAATAAATATTGTCTAAATCATGATTAAAGGTCGCCTAATCCCAAGGTTCCTCTTCTCGGGTGGCAGTGAAACTCTCGGAAAACCAGGATAGAGGTTGAGCAAAAACGTTAGATATATCTCAGGCAGTATGTGCTACGCTATTTTCATGATAAATGGGTGGTATGCTTAGTAAATTTCTGCAGGGTTGAGGGACCGTTTTAGTTTCCTTAATAAGCCCGCAGGACTTAAACATTTTAGCTTTTGTTATCAGTTTGCTATAAAGTTTTATCAATTTCCTTCTTTAATAAATTATTAAATTGGTTGTAAATTTTTTTGTCCCTAAAAAAGATCGTCTTTATATCATTTGTTTAAGGCAGCGTCTCCTTTTAATCATCTGCATAATAGCGGGAGCCATTAATTAGTTGAAGAATTTAGAAGGCTTAGAAGTAGAGGCAGAATTGTAAGCACTTCGAATTGTTAATTCTAGATGATTGACCGAGTCACCGGTACCTAGCTTAGACGGCATAAAAATATATTTATTAAGATTTTCGTCTAGTTACGCTTTTATAATTTACTATTAAAACTTTAAAAGAAAGGATTTAGCAAGTTTATAAGAGACAATGACTTTGATGTTTCGTTTAAGTAGTTAGTTGCCTTAAAAAAATTAAAGTTTACTAGAATTCACGATACACTTTATTAAACTCGCTCAAAAGGTTTTTTAGAATAAAAAGTGTTTTTATTTGAACTTGATATATAAGAAAGTAAAACTTGTTTAATCTTAGTTTACCTTCTGTACAATTATCAACGACAGTACTACTTAACGCCAACGAAAATTCAGAGTCCACTTTTCTCCAGCGTCTGCAAGTATAAAATAATAAATCAGGGTATGGTAACACAGGCCCTACATTGTGAAGCACTTCCGAGAACTCGGTCGATGTCCAGCGACTCTGGTGACGATTCTCCGGTTTAAAGGTATTGAACCTTGAAAAGGTCCGCAAACAATTGAATACTAAAATCTTCATAAATTACATATTTACAGTTGAGGTACAAACATTAAGACATGTTGAGCTCTATAAACTGGTCGTAAGTACAGAGCTTTTTATGTACTACTGTTTTATAAATTTTATCTACAGTTCATTCTTCCGTGAGCGATGATGGATGCACACCTCCTTACTCCCCTTCGCTTGGTGAATCAAAATAGGCTTTAACAATCGTGCGTAAACTCACTCGCGATCCGTCTGGATTTCTTTCATAGAACATAAAGTTAGGACCTACGCTAAAATAGTTGAATTCTTAGACAACATGTTTTCTGATGTGTAAGACTCACTGATCCCGCACAACTCACATTGCAGAGAGGTTTAAGGCAATCGCTTTAATAGATGGGCTTAGCCGAGTGCATTTTGTAAGAATTTTGTTTGTAGGGGAGTAGTAAACGTAACCACCAAACCAGAAAATTGCGAGTTGGCACCGACGGACAGCAACCTTGAGGTTGCGTTACAATGCTCTAATCACTGAGCTACGGTGAAAACTTACATTCTTTGTAAATAAATCACGTATAGTGAAGCCCCGGACTTAAAAAAATTAAGTAAAAATATATGGATCCACTGCGTACTTTGGTAATCCTCTGTAGGCCAAAAAGGCAAGTAACGTCAGCAAAGGGAGAAAGTCAGGAACAACTCTAAACTTTTGTTAAAATTTTTATAGAATCTATTGCTCACCCACCAGACTTCCAGGCAGCAGCAGAAACTATAGAGAGGTGGATTTGAATACTAAACAATTGTCTAACCGGGGGACCGACGGCCAGAGGAACCAAATTTTTGCAGAAGACTATGACTTTATGGAGGAGTAAGTCACAGAGGATAAACTGAAACTTCTACCAACAAAGTGGAAGGTGTAACTGACGACTTTTAAGTGGCTAACACCAATCACAAAAGAGTTGAGGATTCCTGGCATTTTATAAAAACGTGTTGAAGTAGAATTTAAAGTAAAGGGGAAACCCATTTACCATTCTAAAGTTTAAAGAAATCGTTAAGTGTTACTTTAACAGACGGAGAAGACTCAATTAACAATAGGGATGAAGAAATGAATTCGTTCGAATTGTCTGTATACACCGACACCTGCTTCACTCCGAACATTAAAAGCTAGAGAGTGGTACATTGCACTGTGAAAGGAGATTTACTCTTATTGAACACTTGGTAGATAATAGGCCACAAAGCAGGTTTCTGTCTCTCTGCTCGTATTTGTATGTTTCTTTTTGTTCGCTTGTGAGTTCCAGCCCTTACAGATTTGGGTTAATCCGTATTTTATTAGATTC